AGTTTATATAAGTTGCAACTTTATAATGTAGAGCTACCGATGCACCTCCAAAATCCATCAGAAAAAGTAGTTTTAATGTTTTTGGTTGATCATATCGACATCGACATGTATGATCATGAAAAATAAGAAAAATTTAAGTCTCAAAAATAGTGCATTTTACAACATATTATCTACACCGTCTATTTTCAAGATTTTTATATGTTTATAGATCTACTTGATTTTAACTATTTTTAAAATTTAAAATTTTATACTTAGATATAAAAATAGATTTTGAAATAATCTTAAGAACATTTTACTTCAAAATTATATATCATGATAAAATTTGAAGGCGCACCTTACCTCTAAAGCTACGGATGCATCTGTATGCTATCTACACCCTTTATTAATTATAGTAGATAATGATTTCATCCACATGAGATGTGACATCACCTATATGGAGTATTAAATGTCATTTGTTTCTTATAAAAATATATATTCTACCCTTAATGATTAAAATATTATTACTAAAAATATATTATATCACAAAATAAGAGTATATAAATAACCAAAAATTGTTGAGTACATATATTTTACAATGTGAACATCATAACATAACCCATAGATAAAAAAATAAGTACTCCACCGTTTCATATTCAAATGAACGGTGGAAATAAGGGTTGTAGCTATTGGGTTTCGCTATGCTAGAATATTAGAGAGAGAAAAGTAAATAAGATTGTGGGAGAGAACCCTTTTTGAAGAGTGAAAATCTCAATAAACTTAGATAAACGGCTCACACATATTGGAAAGAAAGCCTTTTTAGCATGCCCAATGAGAAGAGAGAATTATACCTACTCTCTTGGCCTATCATGCTTACCTTTTAGGGTAGGAAAATCCAAAGAAAAAGAAATGGATGAATGACCAATAAAATACATGTTTTAAATACGACTTTTGCAGCGCTTTGTGGGTTTATTGAGAGAGGTAAAAGTCACAAGGGAATAACTAAGACTGACTTTGTGGCTTTGACACCGCATATTTCAATTGCATGTGGCTTCTATTCCTACTGTCAGCTTCAAGAACAACTAACTAATTCAAAAATGGATAGGGCTTATCATCCCCATTGAATTACTCAAAAAGCAAAAAATACAAACATTAACTTTAAGCAAGAAAACATATTAGTACAAATAAGATAAAAATATTAACGATTAAGCAAAAAACCTTATAGTGAGCATGTTGGATTCTTTTTTTTTTTTAGAATATATTAACCAAAAAATAAGATAAAAAATTAAATAAAGAACATGATCGCTATGATACCAGTGAAAAAAAATTTTTGGAGTGAAGATAAGCACCAAGCTTAGATCTTAGAAGGGGATGTGTTGGGAGGCTGGTAGCAGAGCTCATATTTTGATTCAAGAACCCTTTAGAAAGAGGAGAAATTTTTTGTAAACACAAGATGCTCTATAATTATTGTTGTGTTTTTCCTCTCTCTAATTTCCCATATTTATAGGAAAGAAGATGTGGCCGAACATTAACTATTTTTTAACAGGTCTCTGAGAAATAAACTCCTAGATCTTAAAAATGCTTATTTTCATCTCATATGATCGCTTAAAAAAGCCTTTAGTTAATAATTAGTTATATACATATTATATTTAAAAAAAGTGGTTTAATAAAAGGATAAGCACAAAAATTTATACTGCCATGAGATTCCTCCCATGAAAATGGGGAAGTGTTATGATGCCCATGCCCACACGCACCAGCAACAACCATATGTTCAATGTAAGAATGTTGGATTGCCCCAAAGTTCTAGTTGATTCAATGTTAGAAATACCCGAGAGGGAGATTAAAATTAAGTTTCAGACCAATGTAATATCTCCAAAACATCGAACAATGCAATTAGGGCAGTTAGATATTTCAAACATCGGATTGGCCCCGAAGTGACCTAAAACATAGGTTACAACCCCATTTTTAAAAAAAATAAATGAAAAATTAAAATCAGTCTTATGTTGGTAACATCTGACCAAAAGGCAAGCTTAAAAAACTTAATAAATAAATAAAAACGTGTGGGGGACAGACCTACATGTGATATTTTTCGTATTTTCTCATATGTTTGTGCATGGATGTGACAATCCCTAACACACCGCACATCCTCCTCAAGGCCCAAGAGGGTGAGGGGTATCGTCACGGACCTAACTGGTCTGTGATGTTGCGTAAAGCACCTCACACCTTTCTGGAGGCCCAAGAGGATGAAGGCACTGCCATAGACTTGTTAAATCTATGGCAGTTTCTTCACAATACGTAATGCACCCCACACCCTCCTAGAGCCCTGACGGGTGTTTGAAAGGGGTAAGAGGTACAATGGATTTGCTAGATCCGTGGTGGGGTAGAAAAGTTATATAAAAGAAAAACATGGCAAAACAAGTATGTGTAAAAATTTGAGATTTTGGTGTTCCTATAATATTCTAGACAAAAATGGAGATATATATGATAGTTTCCCGTCGTTTTAAACCCTTTGTTCGGTATTCCCAACCATACATAACTAAGGGTACTCGCATCATTTGGCTTGGAGCACTTAAGTGGGGGCGAAATTATTAAAAGGCCCCAACTTATTTGATGTTCTAATCCTAATCAAGGGCAAATTGAGCATTTTTATCATATTTTTTGAAGAGGTATTCCAGTGAAATGAAACTCAAAAAATAATTATTTTGTATTAATGGAAATGATTAGGCCACCCTAATAATTTTAGTAATGCTTTCTTTTTTATTATATTTATTTATGGAAAAAAGAAAACATGGTCCAGAGTTGAGAAAAATTCGAGCTCTTTGAAGTCACTCACACTCACTCTCTCTCTCTCTCTCTCTCTCTCTCTCTCTCTCATTTAACTCCTTCCAAGAAGTCGGAACCTCTATGTCATTTTAACTCCTTCCAATGAATCGGAGCATCTCACCTTTGGATTAATGGTTAGGGCGTTGTCCACGACACTGCATAGTCGAGGTCCACACCCCATCAAATCAAACAAAAATAAGCTTTAGAGAGAGAGAAAGGGCAGGGGGTTGGGTTGTTGGGGTCAAGTTGGACTTGCGCTTATCGAGTTTTATAAATTGAAAGGGACACAATTCTATGTGCCGTAAATATTATTTAAAAATAAATACGATATATATATATATATATATATATAATGAAGTCATAATTATTATTGACGGCTAGATTTGAAATTGAGCCGTTGATAAAGTCATTTTGAACACAAAATCCAAAATAAAATTTTTCAAATATTGTGTTAAAAAAGATTGTGACCTTGTACTAAAAAAATATTGTGTTTAGGACGTCGCATTGTAAGTTGTCAAGTACTAACCAATTAAACCGGGGCACTTTTTCCAAAGAAATAAATAAGTAGAAATTTGTAGCCCTACTTTTTAATGAAAAAAAATATAAATAAAATCCGCGATTTCATCTTGGCGCTCAATGGTATTACACCCAAAGCACCAGCTCATTTTATGTGCCACCGGGGGTGCCTCTTGTTCTCCTAATAAACATTTTAGGGAGAGAGATGGGTCAGCTTCTATTTAAAATAAAATGGGATGGGGCAGCTTGAATCAATCGAGGTTTTGGTACGTTAAAAAGGACAACTGTTAGGGAAGCGTCGGCCTCTTCATCACTCAACATCATACAATGTATGTTGTAAATATATATAAATATGAGGCAGTTGGGGCTATACATCAAGCCATTATTTTTGGACCACTAGGTACGTATCCATATGTCAATACCCTTTTGCCCTTTTTTAAAAAACATAAGTCCTTTCTTTTCTTTTTCAGCATAGTATTATCACTTTCTTTTACAGAGGAAAAAGGTCGCTCTTGTTTGTCCAGGCCCGTTGACATGAGGGCATGCTCAATTTTTAGATATTTAATCATTTTGAATCCTTGTGAAGGCAAATTTTAGGCACTAGTATTGGGGCTCATGTGATCATCTACAACCTTTTTTTTGATAAAAAATGCATAATATCTTATAGTCTAAGGAAAATATTCTATTATTTTTTATTTTTAACTTTTATATTTCATCAAATCTAAAAAATGAAAATGTTACTTGCAAGCAAAATGATTCCATCTTTTTTATCTTGCGACTCTCTAAACTCTTTTGACCATGTATTATTGACCTCAACAATTCACGAAATGACTTTATCTCTTTCACTCTAAAACCCAATCTCTCTCTCACATCATCATCTCTCTCTCAAAACTCTCTCTCTCTCCTTAAAACTCAAATTACATCTCTCTAAAACTCCATCTCTCTCTCTCACGTATAAAAAGATGTTCTCACGTTCGACCTCAAGCTAAACCCCTTGACCGATAAACTCACCAAGAAGCAAAGAGAGAGATGAAGTTTTAGAGAGAGAGATAGAATTTGAATAGAATGTCATTTTAATATTTATTTGGGTCAAAAATTTTATGGTTAAAGAGTTCGATAGAGTTGTTAGATAAAAAAGATAAACTAATATTTTCAATTCTTGGATCTTATGAGATATGAAAGTTAGAAATATGTAATAAAGAAATATTTTCCCAATAATCTATATAACTTTCTTCCTTTTATTCTTTTTTTCTTTTCTTTTTTTTTGGCAAGGATCTCAACTCCCATCGCTTTACATTTAGATCTACATAGATTGCATGTTGGGCTAAGAATTAACCAAGTTTGGTGAAACTCGAATTTCATATCCTATTCAGATCCCAGTGTAGATTCAATAGGATCTGATAGGTTGGATCTGAATCCAAAATTTGAACCCGATTAAGTTCCAACCCAATTATATATATATATATATATATATATATAATTTTTTTGTTATATATTATTTATAGATATAAAATAATTTTTTGGATCCTATCCGATCTAGATCCAGATTTGGATCCAATCGGATCCAAATCTAGATCCAAGTCCTGTATACTTTTCAGATTCAAATCTGGATCCAAATCCAAATAGATCCAAACCCGACCCTGCCCTTAAAAAAAAAAAAAAAAATTCACTTTCCTAAAACAAAATAACATCTCGAGATTCAATGGATCTGATATTTACAATATGATTGGTCCGTCCAAAATTTCTACCCTCTGGCAAGTGGAAGGGACATATCAGCTACAGTATAAGCACAAGAAGTTGATGGCAAAAAAGACGTCTATGCCTTTATTACAATGGTCAAGGCTCCAGCTTTCCTCCATAAAACTTAAAACTTCACCTTTTTCTTGTGTCTTGGTGGCGGCGGCGGCGGCGGCGGCAACAGCAGCAAAAGTCCACATTTTGACATATTGAATCTACAAAATTCATGTACAACCAATTAGGCATGACAGCACTTTTTGAGTTTTTTTCATACCCAAATGCCCAAAGGCCTACAAAACTTTGGAACCATGCGTTCCTCATCTCATTTGAGGCCAAAAACATTATAGTTTTTGCATTGTTTGAACTTACCACCGTCATCACCATCAACGTTGCCATAAGCATCATCACATGCATTCCAGTATGCCCATGCATGAGGAGACTTCTGCACAGACAATCATGGTCCCATCCAGTCCAAAAGGAAAGATCATTTAAATGGTAGCTGAATTCCATTCCCCACCGATCAAAGTACCGACCCTCTCACCCATGATAGCTTTCGATATATTACCGGGCTTTGTCAAGTTGAAAACAACCACTGAAACGACCAAATAAATCAATCATGAGATCTCTATCCAAATCTATAAACATACACGTACTCATGCATGTATGCATTCAATTCGCATGAGTAACATTTGAACATGGATTTGTGTCACCATAGCCTTTGTACAGGCTTTCTCAACAAGGACATTTGATGTCCTTAGTAGTTATCCCAGAACACAAGATGAGGAATCTGATCAACCATGTGGCATTCAATGCCAAGGCAACTACCAAATGCCTTTATACTTTATAGGGAATTTCCATCCAATTCTTAGAAATATACATAGAGGGATAATCTAAAATTTACGACCCTTCCAAATATAAAAGTTAATGTTAGAATGAATTGTAAACCATAAAAGTTAATGTTAGAATGAATTGTAAACCAGTGTTCACAAAATTGAACCGGAACGGTTAACTAGACATGGGCCAAAAGCGGTTTAACTGGCCTAACCGGTAAACCGGCCAATTCAACCGTTCTAATCGAGCAAGTCCCGAGTGGCCAAAAAATTGTGGAAAAAAATAAAAAATATGCAAAAAAAAATCTACTAAAATATGAAAAGCATATAAAGAATGATTAAAACAAAACACATTCAAGTGAAGGTCAACCTTAATGAAAAATGGATTTTAAAATTGAGTATTAATGATCAAAACAATTTTTAATATTTACCATAATGTAAAAATTATTATGAAATGTATTACTAATCAAATTCTTTACTTTTGAGATTTTATAGACATTTTTTTGAATTTTTATTTTTAAAATACCGGCCGATCACCAAAACCGCCCGAAACCGGAATTGGCAAGGGGCCGGTTTTTATCTGACCGGACGGTTACTGATTCGATCGAGCGGATTTTCAAACAATGTTGTAAACGATGGATTTACTATGTGGTTTCTTTGGTTAAAACAAGGTTACTTTTTTGTTGCATCTTGCTTATCAAGTTGTTGATCAAGGCTGTGTGCAAATATCTTTGTTATCTCTATAAAGGTAAAGTTAAAATTTTTACTAAAAGACAAAAGTATTCTACAAATAAAATTCCCAAATATTAACTTTCAAAATGCTATTGTACTTTCGTAAAAATTTCAAATTTACCCCTACTTAGTGATTAAGTTGCCCATTAAAATAATTTTAAACAAAAAGTAATTAGTTTTGATAAATACACATCACAGCCCATTCTAACATTAACATTCATATTTTGAGGGGTAATTAACTCTAAGATCAATCCATACATAAAATACTAACAAATGAATACATTTGTCCATGAGTGTAAGGTCATTCGGTGTTCAAACAATTTCGAGCATGATAGGAAACTTCCTCATTCAAGTACATGTATTTTTGTTGTTTATATATATATATATATATACTGGAGCATGTGCATTTATTGTAAACATACCGGGTATGTTGTTTTCTTGACAAAGGGTGATTGCAGTCATATCCATGACGGAAAGATCCTTAGATGTTACATCGTGATAGCTCAGAGTGTCAAGGAGGCGAGCATTTGGATTTCGTCTTGGGTCATCATCGTAGACACCATCAACATTAGTTGCCTTCAAAACAACCTCTGCATTTACTGCACCGCAACCCCAGTGGATCAGTGACATGCATAATCCCACAAAATTCCTCTCAATAGGCAAGCAGATCTTTGGAAAAAGATACCAAGGTTTAAAACCTCTCTTTGACTGAGACAAATAAAGAAAATATCTCACAACCCAAAACAAAAAAGTAAACTATGACGGTATGCTCATAGTCCATTGGGTCACCACCATCTAATGGGATAGACATTGATGAAGAGAAAGTGGGACCACATACTAATATTATGTGAACCCATGGGGGGTCCCCTGTTCATTACTGACTCTTGGTCACTCGCCATCATTTCAGAAAAAGTACAGGGATTAAAAACCATCTTTAAACAAGGCAAATATAAAGGAAACATCCGAAACCAAGACAAATAAGGGAAGGTAAACCATAATCCAAAGGAATATAGTGGTATTCTCACAGTTTATTTGGTAACCACCATCCAATGAAATAATGGATGATAATGAGGACAAAGTGGAACCTATAAGAAAATGGCATGAACCCAAAGGAGGTTCCAATTCCCATCACTATTATCTAACAGTGCTAACCCAATGGACTAAAAAGCCATGTTAGCAAGCATGCTGATAAAAAGTTGCAAGCATGCTGATAAATAAAAGACAGATGAGCTCCATGACGGTTAGCAAGCATGCTTGCAGTCATATCCATGCTTGCAACTGTTATGACTATAGACCTATGTCACAATTTTCTACAAATAAAAGACAGATGAGCTCTAACTTTCAGCACAACGAAGGGCAGCAGCTGTATCAGTTGTGAAGAAGGGATTTCCAATCCCTGCAGCAAAGATAACTACTCTTCCTTTCTCTAAATGTCTGATTGCTCTTCTCCTTATGTATGGCTCTGCAACTTCAGACATGCGAAATGCAGTTTGGACACGCGTTGGGATACCGATACTCTCCATGGTTGCTTGCAAGAAAATTGCATTCATAACAGTGGCAAGCATGCTGATAAAAAGCCACGTTTCACATAGATTCACTAATTGAAGTAAAAATAATGTATGCAAATGATAAATCATATTCTCTAGCTATTATTCAAATTTCAAAGACTAGCGAGCAATTAAGGAAAGGATTTCTTAATAAATACAAGCAAGCATCTCTACCGAATTATTTATTAAAAAAAAACGTCTACCACATAAAAAACCATTAGCACTGGCCATGTTCAGCGTATAAGACTTTGAGGAAAGCATCATAAGAAGGCTTCTATTACTTGTCTCTAGATAACCTCCTAGACCAATTACGACATCTGTAGATTTATTTTCTAAATTAAGTATAATGCACAATGTGTACGAGTATAATGTATGCAGCTTTTGGCTTTTAGTTTCTCGAATGTGAAGTTACATGAAGGGAAGTCTGGGACTCCAGCCGGGAATCAGGAAACAAAACAAGAGGAAGAACATCTTAGGCAAAGGGGGACATAATCAAATGAAAGCTGCAGAAAATGAATTATCGTGTCATACTTATACATTGAAGTTCACATGCACATGAACAGCTACTTCTAATCCTAGATTTAGTGGGAACAGATATAAAGAATAAACAGAAAAAAAGAAAAAGACACATCAAACATGCATGCTATTGCAAATAATAAAATACTAAGAGCACCTGGTCAACCAGAATTCCTTTTTTCATTAGTGCACCCAATAAGGTTTTGACTATATCCACAATCTCAGAATATATTGCTGATTTCAAATAACTTAATTTAGTATCTAAAGGAAAAGGAAATTTACAATGAGAATAATTCACAAATGCAGAAACTTAAAAGTGAAGAAATTTACAATGAGAATAATTCACAAGTACTAATTACGTATCAAACAGAAACTTAAAAGTGAAGAAATAATTAGAAAAAATTACTTCCACTTCGGTAAAAGAGATACATTAAGATTGATATATTGAAAATTGCCTAAAAGACAAAGGCATTACCAGATCAAACACAGAAAGCAGACAATTATAGAATTCTGTAACTAGTAGCATCCAAACATTCCACTGATGGTCTGTAATTTTCAACTAGCAGTTAACAATTGTAATGTAATATAATATCTACACATTAGGTTGTCATATGAATAGAAATATGTCACATTAACCAAGGGGAAGGTCTCAGTTTTGGGGGTTACAATTATAAGCAGGCCCTTAGGGAGGTGCACCTGCATTACAAGTTAGGCAGGCAGAAGATTGGTGTCATAGACATCTAATGCATCTATGAGACACACACGCATACCAAAGAGAATCCATTTAATCTCAACCTCCTCCATTTAAACCCATAGATTGCTGGATTTGTGTTACTCTACACAGTTCTTAACACAAAAAACAAATTGAAATAAACATAATCACAAACTGCTATAAGACACAACAAGAAGTCATCCACATATTTCAAATTGCTTATTATTTGTTCAATTTAATGCATATAATATAGAACCCCAGGATATTACATCTTTATAAACGAAAATGCATTCATAAGCTAAAGGATTGCAGAATATCACTTTTAAGCATAGACTGCTTTGTCATATCATTATACTGTGTATCTTCATAAACATAAAATGATCCAACTTTTTTTTTTTTAAACATGTTTCGGAGTGTTAGACATAGAAATTCTATCAGACAAGCCTGTCAACAAGCCCGTTACAATATGCTAGAAAGATTTTGACACCCTCATGCTCAGTGTTTGCGTAAGACACGCATGTCTTGGTCCCAACACGAGTCTCAGTTTTAAGACACACATGTCCCAGTTTAAGACACATAAGTAAATCATCTGACGTGTCTCAGTTGTGAGACGTGTGGCTCAGTTAGGCAGGTGTAAAACACACCTATATTAAGTTTTACTTGTACATTTTCAAAATAATAGTAGCATATATACCAGATTATGCTTTTATCCATATTGCTACTACTTATTTATAATAAGTTATTAATAATATATATGTGATAACAAATCTAAAGTAATAAGTATTTAAAAATGAAAAGAAGTTAGCATCAGAGTGTCAACCTATAAGACATGCATATCTTAGTTCGTGACACGTGTCAATAATCGACACACGTCTTATTTTAATAATGTGTCCTGTGTTGAAACTTGAAATGAAATCACTGTACAGTATGGAATGTGCGGTCCTGACGGTGCCAGACATGCCTACTTTTAAAAGATCGTGTCTGACACCTTGTATCCATGTTGAAACTTGACAACTGTGTTAGCCTCCTTGTAAACTTTGAATGGACAGCTTACGTGAAACATTTCAGTAACTTTACCTTTTAAATTGAAGAAAAGGGAAAACTAGGTTTTTTCGCTCGTAAGTGAGCTAGAGATAACGGCCAGGTGGGGCAAAGAGTTACGACTTACACATTTAAGCTTGACCAAATTTCCCTTTCACTATTTCAAGAGTAGCAGGGCAATGGAAATATCCCAAGCAATTGCTCTGTCCAAACTGGCCCTTGGGACATAACATTATATCACTATATGATTGAAATGTAATGCTTGAATAAATATTTCAACATCTTATCAGGGCATCATGGATATTACCAATCACAAATGAACAACATTATATGATAATAAACAGTGTTCTACAACTTGGGTAGGGCCCCAAGACCCGGCCCTAGCCTGAGCCGAGTTACTCCGAAAAGTTCAAGTGGACTCTCCAGGGCAAGGTCACACTTCAAAACAGACACACACACAAATAAAAATAAAAATAAAAAAAGGCATGAAATTAAAAATGAGAAGGGGGTGTAAGTTTGATGAGAAGGGGGTGTAAGTTTGACCATGTACCTGTAAGAGGAGAGGGCTCAGAGCACATGGCCTCCCTCTCACCACGTTTCTGAAGACTCCCCCCTCTCTATCTATGGGATCTCTCTCTCTCTCTCTCTCTCT